ATGATTCAAAAGGGGGAGTTGGCTGCACCCCAGGGTTTCTAAGGGCGATTGGGCTCCTTGAGTGGACAGCTTCAGCAATAAGCCTGAGCATGATCGAAGTCAAGGGGACAGTCCCAGTCATAGTTGTTTGTCTCGTTCTTTGATTGGCCAATGAGAGTAGTGTAAGGTGCTGAGCTATCTATATCGCCTTCTTTGTAATCTTTGAAAGATGGTGAGAATCCGGTTTGCTGTGTTGCGAGTCTGGCTGCGCCACCAGGACCTGGCGAGTCACGAAAGCGAAAGGCACGTGTTGTTTCTTGATGCAGTGCCGAAGGCCTGGAGAGAGAAGCTGAGCTCCGCAGGATTTGAGATCGGAAGGGCGCCTGTCCACACTTCCGTTCAAGCGAAGGACGGCACTGCAAAGGTGAATACATTTCCCATTCGGTGGCAGGCGTTTTGTTGCAAATTCTTCTTGGTTTTCCTTTGTGTAGGTGATGTCCAGACGAGTTTGAGGGCTTTGCTGACATTCGTTGCTCGTGAATGGACAATGTGCGTTCCAGAGCCTGAAGATGGATTGAATGGACTCTCATTGACCAAGACAAGCTTTTTCCTCTACGATCACCGGAGTTGTTGACTGCGGTCGAAGTTCTCGCCGTGGGCTTGAGGAAACATTAGTCAGTAGGCGTGATCAGTCTGCCTGACATCACAACGCTTTCGATAGAGCATCTGAGGAACCCATGCATACTGGAGGGCGTTTCGTGAATCACGGAAGCATGACTTGCGGTGGCTGTCTTTCGAGAGTGCGCCATTCAAAGCATCAGCTCGTCATTTGTTGACGTTCCCTGCTGGTGTATGCAGCTTCTGTTGCGGTTGCACGACGGGCGGTTGGTCGAAACGGTGGGCATTCCGGGCGACTCGCTCGGGAAGGAGGACGCTTCTGGGGATGGCGCAAAGAAGCTGCAGAAGGGGCATCTTACAGCGTGCATCTCATCACAGGTGCGGCCGGTTGAACACACGTTGATGTTCTCGAGTGGACGACATATGATGTAACCATGTAACTATGATGTAACTATGAAGTGTCAATCAGGTGGCGATGTTTCCGGCCGAGCTTTGACAGTCGTCCGCACAGTCCGGCCTGATGCTACGCTTTTGCCGAGGATTGCAAGGTCTCACAGGACTGTGACGCCAACTTTAAAAAGGTTTCAGAGGATCCTGATATTGAAGTTCGCAGAGAGCGTATTCTTTTCTCGATCTTTCGGATTGAATCTTCAAGTTCGTACCAGTGGCTGCCCGCTCGTTGTTTTCAAATGTACCACGGCTGCATCGTCAGAGTTGAATCCGTAGCTGAAAGCCCTTCTGTGGCTCTGCGCCTTCGAGTGCTTTTCCGTGGTTTCACAAGAGCAAGTCACTCCGACACAAGGCAAATGCCCTTTGCGCTTTGAGAATCTCAACGAATCCATACTGGCCACGTTCGCTTGAACTACACGTCGCTTGAAGTAAGATCCGAGTCCCCCGGGCACACAAACTCAAAACCCTAACCCAAATATTTACTCGCTCCGTACCCAAACCCACCCTAATCACCAAACGAATGCCATTCGTCTCCCGGGCGCCTATCTTAGTCCAAGCGCCCGTTAGTTCAAGCGAACGTTGCCAGACTAACAGACCCCGCTGTCCCGGGTCAGGTGGGCTGCGCGCTGCGGTGCGCTTTTTGCGCGACCGGCAAGGGCGGCTTCTCGCGCCACCTGGCGGCGCACGAGATTGTGGACCAGGTTCTGGCGATAGAGCAGTTCTTTGGGGAGCGTGTCAGCAACATCGTGTTCATGGGCATGGGGGAGCCGATGCTCAACCTCAAAAACGTGCTGCCCGCCTTTCGATGCATAAACAAGGTAAGACTGTGGTTCCTGGACTCTCTAGAAGTAGATTGTCTTCCTTTACGTCGTCACTCGTCTATCTTTTCGTTCTTTGAATTTGTTGACTACATTTCCCGATTAGCCGCAAAAAGCCCCGGCTGTCAAAGTTATACCTGTCCAAGTGACGTATCCTGGAAGTGCATGCCGGACTTCCCTTGACAAGTCGTGCAGCATCCAGCAAGATGAAACCGCTCCGATCGGACATACCGTAATAGGTATTGCCATTCGCCAGTCTGTGATTTTCCGCGGTTATTCAAAGTTTGACCAAGCTCCAGAAATGCATTTGTATGATGGCTTTTGCTGTCCGCTACTTTGTGTTCGATCGACCTTTCTGGGAGAAGAGCGGACTCGTCAAAACGGAATGAACTGTTGGTAGACTTTCTTAGGGCCTGTCAATTTAGATGGCCTTTTTTGGCCTACGTACTGTCGAACAACTCAGCCCCAGATTTCCCCGAACCAAGCCTTCACTTGCGTAGCGCTCCTCCTCGAGTATCATCCGTTTGGTCGCTAATTTCCAGATCGACTGGACTATATTTCGAACGCTTTGCTCGCAGGACGTCGGCATCGGGCAGCGCAGCATCACCATCTCGACTGTGGGCGTCCCCAACTCGATCTCCATGCTCGCGGAATACAAGCTGCAAGCCACGCTGGCTGTCAGGTGAGGCATCGTCTTTGTGCATCCCAGGTCCCTCTAGAAAACGGGGTGGTCCCTTTAAAGAATCGCCCCGTCGTTCCTGAAGGAGCTTATCACAGCTTCACTCTCTGAACCCCTCACCTCCTTGCACACCTCCAATCAGCGGCTCTATTTGCAGACCTTCTAGAGACTTCCTTCCATCCATTCCCTCACTCTTGCTGTACATGGGTCATGCCCCTTCTTTCTTTCTCGCCCCCCTGATTCCAGCTGGCACGCCTCCCATCAGTAGCTTCTTCTGCAGGTCCTTAGAAGAGCTTGTTCCGCCTATCTTTAAACTCTTACCTTGCACAATTCCGTGCCCTTTTTAATCGCCTCTCCTTCCTTCTCCAATTCTGAATTCGCACGCCCATCAGAGGTTCCATCTCGAAATGCTGAAAAATTCCTGCTTCGTATCCCTCTGATCCTTGCTCTGCATGTGCCGTGCCCGTCTCAATTTGCCTTGCCCACCATTTCCGGCTTGCACGTCCTCACCAGCGGCCTCACTTGTACGCCTCCAGGAGAACATTCATCCCCTCACGGTTGCCATACATGGGCCGTGTTCTTTTCTGAATGCCTCCCCACTTCCTTACCTTTCCAAGTCGCTCAAAAACCTGCTTTACATGGGCCGTGCCTTTCCCGCAACTGTCTTCCACTTTGCACGCGCCCAACCAGCGGGTGCGCGAGCAGACAACCTCAAAAGTTTTTCGTCACGCGTGCCTGACAAGGACTCTTTTTCATTGCCTCGCCACTCTCTTCCAGTTTGCACGCGCCCAACCAGCGGCTGCGCGAGCAGATCATCCCCAGCGCGCGCTCGTACCCCCTCAACGCGCTGCTGACCGACTGCCGCGAGTACTTCGCAAAGACGGGCCGGCGGGTCTCCTTCGAGTACACGCTCCTCGGTGAGCGCGTAGCTGTTTGACTACGTTGAAGGAAAGCTGCTTCCGAGAAGGAAGCAGGCTACCCGTTGACAGAAACTACGTTGAATTGGAACTAGTCCGAGCCGCGGTTTCTGATGAAGACGGCTACGACTTCGGATAAGCTATGTTTAACAAGGGTACACTGAATCTAGACATTTCCTGGGGGATTTGGGTTTCTGTTGGGGACAAGCAACGTCGGAATAGAGGTTTTGGGACAACCTTAAACGAAACGAAGAGCTACGAGATGAGATTGGGTACGTTGAGATCAGTGTTGCCTGGGGGATGGGAAGGTTGTGTTGGCCGTTTTGGATGGGTACGGGTATGTAGAGTGTCAGACCTGCGTTTGGTGCTCAGTCAGTGCCCTCTTCATGACCGATTTTAAACTCGAACATCTCACTGTAGGTTAGCATCTCAATCTGCTCCCGCCTGTCCGTTTGCAAGCTCGATCTGCCGTCGTTTGGTTCAATGCGCTAGTGTGTCGTGGCAAAAAATTCTTGCAATTTTCGTACTGACGTCGCCAGCGAACGTTTTGTGGCTTCTCATTATCTCGTGACGTGCTTTGGGATTGTTTCTCAAAAGGGCCGAATGTGCTTCCTTCTCGGCACCCGTACATTTCATTGTCAGAAGACTGCCCAAAATCTGAAAGGAGCAGTGCTTTCTAGACCGATCAATTGACGTTTTCCAACATCCACAGCTTCTGGAATCCTTCGACCAACTCGCATCGTTGCTCTCTACAGCTGGCGTCAATGATTCGTATCACGACGCCAAGGAACTAGCTGGGTTGCTGTACCAGTGGAAGCTGGCGCATCACGTAAACGTCATCCCGTACAACCCGGTAGAGGACTCGGAGTTCAAGCGACCCGACAGATCGGCGGTAAGGGCTTTCGCTTGTGATTCTGATTGTCAACTTGGAAGGGCTTCCAAGTTGAGGGGATTGAGGGGTTTCCGGGATTCCACCTTACAGCGTTCCAGAGTGTGGAGGGTTGTGAGTACCTATTTGAGGGTCCCAGGATTGATACTTCTTAGCTTTTCTTTTATGGCTAAGAAAGGGAGCACTGAATATATAAGGATGTTTGAGACGAGCCGGAAACGGACTCGCGCAGATCCGATGACTCGTCACAATTGCGGTGTGTGCCCAGAGGTAGAAGATCCTTCTGGTATACGCTTACAGAGCCTTCTGTCAATGTCCCCTGGGCTTGGTCGATGGTGATGCACAGGCGAACGAGCAATCTGGAAAAGAGACGCCCGATTCTGATGAAGGAGTGCTTCAGATTGACTTCTTTAGCGTAACAAAGTCTGAGGATGTCGATCAAACTCTCTGTTCTGACCAAACTATCTAGCTTCTAAGGGACCTGGCAGATTTACGAGGCCTGGTGTTGAACGGGGTCTTTTCATCTCCGCAGATTTAAACTCTCGTGGAAATCTGACGAAGCACAAGTTCATACCCCCTGTTTTAACCGTTAAATTTGGTAGGATCTGGCGAATTTGTCAAGCCCGGTGTTGAGCGGGTTTTCCGTTCCGCCGGTCCAAAATCGAAATCTCTGACGTAGGAAATTGTCGAGCCTAAGTTTTGACGGAGTGTTCCCATCGTCACAGGTCCAAACTTTCGTGGAAACTCTGACGAAGCACAAGCTGACGGCCAGCATCCGCCGAACGCGGGGCTTGGAAGCGAATGCGGCGTGTGGGCAGCTCCGCAACGCGTTCCAGAAGACGCCCTTGGATGTGGCGAGTTTGGAGCAGGGCCAGCCTTTAGCTGTGGGCGCATAGGGGCGCGAGCGGCTAGGGCTCGGGAAGTATCGATAAGGGTTGCTCAAGCAGATTGTATCCCCTTTACGAATTTGTCGCAGGCTCTCCGTCTTGGGTCATTAACCGAAACGAGGATGATTACGGGTCTTACTCCAGGTTACTTCGCTACTTCCTGATATTATTTTCCTCGATGGCACTAGGTTCGAAAAGCTGATCTGAGCACTTGTAAGCTGACTCTGAGATAAAAGAACCATCAAAGGCTAAGTTACGCTGCAGTTCTGAGCTGATCTGCCCAAAGCGATGTGCATGGGTTAGTCCTCGTTGCACAAATCAACGTAGCGCGACAATCGTTTGTTGTTGTTCATGTACGCAGGTATACCATGTTGGAATAGTATCTGGTCCGTTCGTGAGAAATTCATCGTGACCTGCATTGAATCAATCACCATCATCAGTGGCATGTGCCGCCACCGTAAGATCGTTGACAGGCTGGCCATCATCATTTGATGATTGAATGATTCTGCGCCGGCCGCTGCAGCACATCACAGCATTATCAAAGTAGCCATGGCAGGCTGGCCCGCGGCCGGCCTGGGTGTCGGGCCCTGCATTAAATGCACCCGGCCCTGGCATGCTCTAGCTGGCAAGTTGAAACCGCGTTGCAAGCGTATGTCAGGTACCGCACATTCATGCATGATGCTTCAACGCGTGATAATATACATACCACTGGCGGTGTTGGCGGCATGCTCAACCGCAGCTCTGGATTCAATCATTGATATTGTAGTCACCTAGTCGGGGCGATAAGATGTGTCGGGCCAATTCGGATGCAGTAATTTGGACGCCCGAGTAGCGTAGTATCTTTTGAGTCCGGTGCAAACAAACATTATGTGCTATGCACACAACGCCATGATCGATCGAGTGGCACATCATGCTCAGTAGTTGAATTGCTTCTTAGCGTCCATGTAGCATTAGGGTTTGCATACCTTGCTGGACATGAATCGTAGCCATAGCAAGAAACAAATCCCCGGCCGCGCCGGAGACCGTGCTCCACGGCCATGGTGGCTAAGGGCGTTAATAAATTGGAAGTTACCATATTGGCATGTGGACGCAAGCTAGCTTCTTGATCGTCGGCGCGTCAAGTTGGCTGGTAGATCGGCATTTGAGGTGTATATCGCATATTGAAATGTCGGGTTTGCCGCCGGCCGGACGTATGCACGAGGACTCGATCTGATAAACACACGCGGTCACTCGACGGAGCTGGGGCCTGAATTAAGATCATGTGATTCAAGAAGACTCCTGGAGCTGGAATCGCGACCAAGTGCTTCCGCTAATGACGTCTTCAAATTGTTTGAAGACAACAGTTTGAAATCTAGCGTTACAATTGGCCGCACAATGTCGACTCAGCTCTGGTCATACAAAAGTCAATATGAGCTTCCAAATTGTCGGGGAGAAAATACTATTACGCACTAAGCTTTTAGAAAATCCGCTGGCCAGGGAGCTTATACCAGCTTTGACAGCTGCATCTGGATCTACTCAAGTTCTCCAAACATTCTGTCTCGAGACCGGACCACGTTCGCAAAGAGGCACCCGAACATAAGTTACTCAGATCCACAACTTGAGTGCAAAAAGCCGTTTCAGCGTCCTCTTCCTTCTTCTACGTAGTCACTACCACCAGGCGAGTGCCTTGCGCAACATCATGGAATTGTGTGCATACACCCGGGGTTCCGGTGGACGGAGCCTACGAGCAGGACGGAACGGCGCCGGAAGGGCCGCAACCGCCGGAGCAGCACGTAAAGATGGAGCCGTCCGCCGAGAAGCACTGCAGAAGAAACCCCGAAGGAAAAGAAACCTGGTTAGACTCCGCCCTCTGTGTTGCTGTTTGCAGACAAGCTTGACTGCGACGATGCATCAAATGCGCCCTTAGCTTTTGTGGGCACCCCCTTTTTCGACTTCGATTCGATCTTTTTGACCTGGCGCAACTGACGCCTTGAGGGTTTTAACTCACGCCAGAAGCAGGGACATGGAAACATGGCGGGAAGAACAGTTAGAAGGATCGACGGCGTCTGATGGGAAGGTGCTGGGCTATAGATTGATCGAGTCATAACAAGTGGAGGGGTCGCGACTTCAGTGATCGCTCGCAGTCGAGAAAGGGGAGACGCGAAGAGGAGATGAGCCAAAACGAAGGAATCCGCCGCAAAGTTGAGAAGAGTGGTGCACAACGGAACGCCAATTGAAGGAGCATTCATGAAATATGAGGTTGGAACAGGGACGAAACAGCGTAGGACAGGAATAGTACACGGGATACATAAAGTCTAGAAAATGAAAGACTTCAAATACAGTCGAAGTGACTTACGGCGTGCGGAGGAGAGATGCACGCAGGGCTCCCGGCTAGGAAGACCTGGCCGGGGGGGGCTGGGTAGAGGATTCAGCGTCAAAGATAAACAGGTCGGTGAAAACGAAAAAATTGGAGAGAAAAACAGAAGAGAAAAAAAAGCGCGTATACTCGACTTACGGCGTTGGGGGGGGAGGTGCATGTGGGGGTCCCGGCGGGGAAGACTTGGCCGGGGGGGTTGGGTAGAGAATCCAGCGTCGAAGATAAACAGGTCGGTGAAAACGGAAGAAATTGGAAAGAAAAAAAGAAGAGAAAGAAAAGCGCGCGTACACTCGACTTACGGCGTTAGGGGGGGAGGTGCATGTGGGGCTCCCGGCGGGGAAGACTTGGCCGGGGGGGCTGGGCAGAGAATCCAGCGTCTCGAAGATAAACAGGTCGGAGGAAAAGAAGATTCACAACAAGCGACCCGTAAATGGGACTTACGGCGTTAGGGGGGGAGGTGCACGTGGGGCTCCCGGCGGGGAAGACTGAGCCGGGGGGGCTGGGCAGAGAGTCCAGCGTCTCGAAGATAAACAGGTCGGTGGAAGCGCTGGAGGGGTCGGTGGGGTCTGCCGACTGGTACAACGCCCCGCGGGCGCCCACGAACTGCCCGGTGCCGCCGACGATGGCGAGGGGCAGGGACGACGAGAAGAGGACCAGAGCTGGAGGGGCAAGAGTGAAAAGTTAAGAGTTAGGACGATTCCGTGCGGGGGACCTAGGAATCTTTGGGTTCCGCCGACAATGGCTAGGGGCAGGGACGACGAGAAGAGGACCAAGGCTGGAGGGGTCAAAGGTATGGACTCCGGATGAGTTGTGCGACTTGCGACTAGCAGAAAGCACGAAGAGAAGAAGGAGAGGAAAAAGAAAGAAGAGGAAAAAGAGGATGCAACAAGAGCTCCCCGTTTCCTTTATCTCGTCCAATGGTGTTTGCGAGGGGCCCAGGAGGAGTTGACGATGCACCGCCGGAGACTGAGAGCTGAAGGTTCGGGCTAAGGTGAACTTGTGTTTCGCTGGCCCGAGCTTTTGCTTCCGAACTTTCCTAGACGAGGACGGCTTCTTACTGTATCAAAAGGAAATACAAGCTGGGTTAAAACGTGGATACGGTAACGTAATAGTGCTTACAGTAATCAGCACTGGGTCCGTTCTTCTTTTCTGATCATGCTACAGACGGTTGGCACTGTCAGTCTCGACTTTTGAGGTGGCTTCCCTTCTAGAGATCAGTCTGATAACCACCAGACTTCATTTGTCAACGTGGCTGGGCTTTTGTCAACGCTATCGGCGATGGCGCATGTCAAGAAGCACACGGCTTTATCTTGAGATTGGTCAAATTCCCACAGAGCAACTGAGCATGTTAATTTGCAAGGCAGCGCCATGCAAAGAAAACTCTCTGATCAACAGCGGCTGTGCGACTTCGGAGCCTCTTTGCTGGGGCTACCAATCAAAATTGTTGCCGACCTACACATATAAAATTACCTACTCCAATTGCAACCACCAGCTAGGTACCAAAACGACTGGTCCCAAGCACTCGCTGATTAACCACAAGATCACGATTCCTTTCAGACCCCTTACCAAGTTGGTTCCATCTAATCCTGATTATTTAATTCCAAAATCTCAGATTCCTCTTGAAGTTCTGCAGAAGGTTCTACAACCAAAACGGCGCCACTTGACACCAGCCCAGAGAGAGGTCGCTCATCACTCAGCGCCTCACCTGACTGAGTCAAGGAGCTCCCAGCATACTCCCCCACAGTGAAATAGGCGGTCTGGGTGCACTCGTAGTAGTTCTCCTCGATGTTGTCAGCCTCAGACGGAATGGCTCCGGTTAGGCAAAACCCAGTGACAGACCCGATAACCTCGCCGTCAAAACCCCCTACTTTGAGGTCGTTGTTGAAGGCAAAGTTGCCCCCCACTTCGGTAGGGGAGCCGGTTGTGTGACGGGCGCCGTCAGGAGAGAAAATCTCAGTGAACCTGCAGGGTTTGGAGAGGGTAAGGAGGTGGTATTCGAAGGGGTTTTGAGTATATGAGTTGGCCTGTTTCCAAGGGTCCGAGAGACAGATTAGTGGAACCAGGTTAAGGCAAAGTGCCTGTATTGACGGGGAAGTGGGATCTGAGCTAAACAGCTTTAGGTCTTGGTCACCTTGGCTTCGTAATTGTGGAAGTCAATTCTTGAAACTTTTGTTGGATTTGTCATTGCATCATGTGGGGTTTTGTTGTCATGATAATATTCTCTTAACATGACCCATCTCAAAGAATGAAAAGAGCTTTTCAAGAACAACCCTCAAGCACACGCGAAAGGGAGAAAACTAGACAGAGAGGGGTGCTGGGCTTTTTGTTTCGGTTGCAATGCTGGACTGGAGAAATGAGATTGATCCTCAAAGGTCTCTGCATTGTAGCTGCCCCACAACCAGGGAATAAAACAATGAAGATAGGGAATGGAACGATCCCACATGTTGAATGGAATACAATCCAGCCCATACCCCGCTGACTAAATGTAGCAGCATATTGACTGTACCACTTGGAGAAAGACATTCTCAAGTCTGTGTGAAAGGCAAACAATCGTTTTCGCAACAGTTCAGCTGCCAATGGTGAGGCAGTTTAAGCATAGGACTGAGATCTGGTCAGATGAAGGGAACTTTACATAGAAGGAGGGACAAAAGGTTGCGCCTATGAGAAGGAAATCAATAAACTGGGACAGCATCCACTCTCTGCCTGGGATCAAGCCGCCGTCTGCAATGCCAGCTGATTCCTACGTCTGTCACACAGATTCACCGGCATTCAGAGAAGATAAGCAGCACAACACAGGGAGATAGTTTTGTCAAGCGGTCAAGCTCCCAAGAAACTTTAGAGCGGATGCAAAGCAGCAACTCGCTGCCGACAAGCATAATGCTCTCCCCAAGTGACCAGATGCCATGTCTTACTGAATTGTAGGAAGCAAGCGGGACTCTCAATGCCACAGTCACTTGGACCTAAGCTACAGGACGCCAACTTTCCCCGCTCTGTTAGATTCTTGTGTTTGAGCAGACCATAAACATTCTTGACCGCTTGAAGCATGATACCCCTTTTCTTGACCACTATAAAATCAACGCAGGGTTGAAACTGAAAAGAAAGCCCATCTCAAAGAAGAAGTGGGAGCGGAAGCTCCAGGATAAAACCAAGCTGCTCTAAATGACCCAAGCTGCTCTCATTGACCTTGGGTCTTTTATTGCTAGTCTGTAATATGCATAAAGAAGGTTGTGTGAAGCAGAAGGCAGCATTTGTTGAAAGGGTTGGCCCAGCATTGACCAAGTAAGAAGAAGGGTGTGCCTGAAAGATGGATTTGTTTGCAAAATGCAAGCCGCCCCAGCATTGCTAAGCGACAATTTGCAACAAAGGCAAGCACAAAAGGCAAACGGACAGTCAAAAAGAAGGGTCAGCGTCTATGGGACCCTAACAATGAAGAGCACAGAGCAATGCAGAGTACTCAACTGCCAGCTGGCGTCTGAGCAATCCCTCTATTTCCAGTGATTGGGTCACTTCAACAGTTTACCTGCTATTAGAAGACTGTGCAAGAAGAGATACTCACGAGAGAGCATACTGCTTGGCAGACACGGCACCCAACAGCAGAGTGCACGCCAGCACAGCCGACAAGAACCGCCCCGCCATGGCTTTCCTCTTCACTGGACTTCTGAGCTGAAAATTCGTTTCTTGGAAGGCAGCTGCGGAAACTGTAAAGGACAAGAACCAACTTGTCGCTGTAAGGCTGCTCCCTGAAAAGGATTGGGTGGGTTTGAAAGTGATTTCGGATGAGCCACTTTAGTCCTCGAGCCCTCAGTGACTCAAATTGGCACTCGATTGCATTGACCTGCTGCGTTGAAGCAGCCAGCCGAATGAGAGTGCCGTTGGAGCTGGCAGGTGCTTCGGACTGATCAAACTTTTACGTACGTGGTAGGAAGTACCGTACCTAGGTGCCTTATAAGCTTCAAAGCTCACCAAACATTAATCTAGTTTCGATATCATAAAAGTACGTGGCACTCGGGATCTGATCCCGGCACACTGTTGCGGGGAACTTGGGAAATCGGCTGGCCGGACTCGGGAGTCTGGAGTGCCTTCAGGAGTCAGTGAGAGCACTGTGCAGTGTGCAGTGCTTGCAGATCGCTTGCCGGTAGGTACCGTATGTGCCTTTCCAGTATTCAAAGCTTGCAGCAGTGGCACAGGATTGATCAGCCCAACTTAATGCACAATTTCGGACACATAGGGGCCGTTAAAATACTTAAAATAATCTCGGAAGAGGTCTTGGTTTCGACGCGGTGGTGCCAAACACGCCGTATTACAGTCCCTGAAGTTGGAAACCGCCCATGAAGCAACTGAGAGGTTCGACAGTCTACCTATCCGTCGAAAAGCACGAAGGGAGTCGGTTGCAACTCGACTCACGCGGTACGCTATCTGACCCGGACCTGACGTCGGGGGAGCTTCGGGGCTCCCCTTGCCGCCGGCGCAAATGATTGCTTAGTAACGCTGTCAAGGTCGGCTCGCTCAAGGGCCTCGTGTGATTGGCCGTTGGGCCAGCCTTTCGTACGGCTTACCGTACGGAAAAACGTTGACGGCATCGTACGCGTACGACCGGTAAAAAGTGAAACGTTGCCGATCCCTCCGTGCGTGCTCTGGCCACCGTCCGATGATGTTTTCAGATCGCATTTCGGCAATCAGATGGCAGGAAAACACAAAATGGGCTTCGTAGGTTCAGGACGTCTGTACTGCTGAACGTTTTGGTTTCCAACTTAGCAACCTAGTGTACCTACCGTACCTATTCCGTTGCAAGAGGTAGCGACATGTACGTGGGGGACATGCATGTGTCACGGTACTGAGCATCCCCAGGCCTCACATTGTTCCTTCGGACGTGATGCTGCAGCTACATACCTAGTTGCGGTTTTAATAGGCTTTTAGCCTTAGTTAGGTAGTTGACCTCCTTGAAAGCCCACCAGTTGCAGTGTAAATAAAACTAATGAGGATTCTCAGGCTCGATTTTAAAGTGACGTCGTGTTTGCATTTTTGCGGTGAAGCACGTCTTCAATGCCGTGGACTCAGCGCCTTCTGCGTATGAACTGAACTCGGCGCCTTCTGCGTATGAAAGCGGGACCGTTAGTAAGCTGTGCCAGGATCTTCTCTCAATAGCTGGAAGCATACACGACTGTTTCGTCCTTTACATGCAACAGGCTGGTTGTGAAATGTGCCATTTAGCTGCTTGCAGTGACTCGAAAGGCTCCTTCGTGAGCCTCAAGCTGAGGAAGCAATGTAGGCAGATCACAGATCAGCATCCATTTTTTGGAAGATCCGATAAAAGAATGTGGAGGTGCAACAATTCACGGGTCCTTTACAACACTTTTACACACTGACCAGCTCCTGGCAACCTCGTAGCGTTTCCAGTGGTCCCTGAGTAGTGCCAAACATTGATGTTCTTGTAAGACGGCAACGATCAGAGAAGCAAGCATGGCGCGTTCTCGTGAAAGACTCCCCCTTTCCTCAATCAGCCTGCTCCATACTCTCCCGCTGCCGAAAGATTTGACGGACTCTCTGACGGAGGCCCTGCGTCTTCCCAGCAGCAAGAGCTCCCCGCGCCAGCTGGCACCCGGCAGGACCCCCCTGAAACGAAAACCCGCGGACTACGCTGAGCGCGCGGAGCGGTACGCCATGATTCTGCAGCTGCTGAAAAGCGAGCCTGCGAAACCCCTGGCCCACAGGAGGAGCCCAGCTTTTGGGGGGCAGAAAGTGCCCGCGTTTTGGGGGGGGGAGATTGTTCAGAGAGCGGCGGCGGGGCCAGGCGCAACGCGGTTGAGTGCGGTAGAGAATGATGCTCCGAAGGCGGGGGGCAATGAGCATTCTGCTGGTGGAGGTGTGGGCACAGGCTCACAGAAGATAGCGGGAATGGACCCGCCAGGAAAGAAAGCTCCAGCGGAGCAGGAGTTGAAGGGTCCGCCCGTCAGTCATATCGATCTCACAGGTTTTCGAAGGGGGGGCGACCAGCGCCCGCGGCTGACAGAGAAGCCTCAAAACGTAGGTAATCCAGTGTTGCTGAGCTCAACTAGAAAGCAGGAGAGTGAGAAAGAAGTGAAAGGGGGTGGTCGAAAGAGAGAGGTGCGGCCGAAAGACAAGAGGATTGACGAGCGGTCTTTGGGATTGGGGGGTCAGGAAAAGGGGCGGAGGGAGGGAGGAACTCTGGGGACAAGTGCAGGATTGGTGGGTGGACTCTCAACTGGTCGGTGGCCGATTCAAGCGGGGATTGCGCACATTGAGAGCGTGAATCGGAAGAAGCTGAAAGGAGACTTTGGCACATTGCAAGTGGAAGGTAGGTCAACCTGGTTCTCAAGATTTGTCGTGCCTATGTGTGAAGTGCACCTGTCTTTGGCGCTACCTTCAGGAAGCGGGAATAAACTGAGCATATGTACAAGGTTCGCGCTTTAAGGCCTGATCGGTCCAAACCCAAGTCTTGCTCTAAGCTGGTGTTGTGCGCGTACCTGCTCGTGACACTTCTTACTGTTCTTGCGACTCTGCAAAGAAGAGAGAAGGAGGTTTCGGCTGTTTGTCGCCGTTGCGCACTTGGCTCAAGCATTCAAGAGTACGTCGTGTGCATATGGATCTGGAAAAGCGCCAATGTGGGCATAAGGAGGCCGCTTTCGACCGGTCAAATATAATCCTTTATGCAAGAACATGCTTGACAAACATGGTGAGGCAAAGATGGGGGCTGATGGAGGGCTCTCACCGCACATACACCGAGTCGGTTTCTTCAAAGGTATGCTCACTTGACCACACGTCAAGCATAGTGTGGAGCACCGTAACCAGATATAACCAACTGGTTAGCTTGCTAACTGTGTATATTTCTGGGGCCACAGGTGGCAGCCCTCCCCTGAGCCCCACAACCCAGGAAGCCGCTCTCCTGGCAGAGCTCGAACTGCTCAATCGCCAGCTGGAAAGCGTCCGGATTTCGGAGCGACTCGGGTCAGGATCCAATTCGGACAAGCCCGTAGCTAAGAGACGGCTTGCGTATGTCAGCCACGGCGAGAGCGGGGTACCGGAGCCGGGTGCGGATGTGCATGAGGGAGAAATTGGGGGATCCCTGGAGCGGCGTGCGGGGATCGACGCAAGCGCAATCGAGGCCTTTGCAGAGGCCGTGAAGGCGACGGTTGGGAAGAGTGGGAGGAAACTAGAGGCGGGTACGAAGAGCGGAAGGAGATCGGAGGCCGAAGAGAACAGCGTGGGGACAACAAAGGGGGGACGAAGGGAGGGAGGCAGATTTGAGGAAGAACAGGGAGAGTTATCAGAGGCGGGGAGAAATTCTAGGAGGAGATTAGAAGAGGCCGAAGGAAAGAACAAAAGTCTGGAGAAAGAAGAAAGGCGCACAAATGATGTCATCGCGAGGAGTTTAGCAACTCGAAGAAGGTTTCCGTCAACAGCTTCCAACGATTTAGAGAGTCGGAAGAATAGCAACACCTCTGGGCAGCGCGGGCGGCTAAGCACTGCCGACCAACCCAAAACCCCAAAACCCCAGCTTCCAAAAACGCCGGACTCTCGAGCGGTCAGCCGAAGAAAGTCCCAAAGCGACGGCGTCTCAGAAGCACGGCTGTGCGCCAGTGAGATGCTCGAGCCCATTCCGGCGGCGCGCCTTCGGCGGCACTCCGGAACCTCTGAGCGGAATTGTTGTTCCGCTGTGGAACCGCTGCGGAACTTCAGGACGCACCGTTCGTCTGGGAGTTTTCCTGGAGTTGCCGTCGGGAAAGCGGCGAGAAAGCCGTCGGTACCGGCCGCGCAGAAAATCGATAAGGAGCGACAAAGATCCGGGCCCGCGGATCAACGAGGATCCGAAGGGACTTCGAGCAGCGCAGCGGAGTCCGGGATCGTGACTGGAGCGGAACAACGAAACGGAAGAGAAGATCGAGCGCAGCCAGCGGATGCTTTTGAAAAGGAGAGGAAACTTCAGTCCCATGCGACCGGTCTGAGCTCCCGGGTGAAGGCGGAGGGGACGGCAGCACACCCGGGGGAAAGGGCGCAACTAGAGGTGGCGGATCAGACGGTCAGGGCGTTGCCCCAAGAAACGGGGAGCGGTCGAGACGACGGTCAGCTTTTGGAGCAGGAAGGAAGTGAAGCGGTTAGTGCGGTTCTGATGGACACAGTTCCGTCGTCTGCCACGAGCGGAGCCAACGGAAGAGCGGGACCGGACAAGCCCCTGTGCGTCTTTGTGAGGTTGTCGCAGCTGGCGGGGCGGCGGCGGGCGAGCAGCGTCACTGATGGGCGCCACGTGGCAGCACCGGAGTTTCTCATCACCGCTGCGCAGGGGGACGAAGTCTGTTTGCCGCACTCTGGGCGGAGAACTGAACGGCGAAGGGCGGTGAGCCACACGTCGGGAGAGCGCCACGTGGCAGTAGGAGAGGCCGATGCAACACTGGGGGACCAGCAAGTTCCGGGGCCGGAGTCTGCCGCCTCTAGTTTTGTTGTAGAGTGGCCTAGCGACTTGGAGATCAGCTCGAAAGCAGCGGCCCGGGCGGAAAGCGGTGGAGGCGTTCTGGCGACGGAAGAGCGGGCAAGGGCTGAGGGAGCGTCGCCAGAAAGGTTGCCAGCGGTCGAAGCGAGCTCGGACGGTGAGGCGCTCGCGGCTATGTACGAAGTAGAAACAGGGAGCGAGGAAAAGCGGTCGGGAGATAACCCCGAAGACGCCTGGGGGGAGTTTGTGGGCGCTCAAGAAGATATAAACTCGTCCAGCGGGTCGCCAAAAGAGGAGCCTGAGAAATTGGGAAGTACCACAGGGTGGTCCAGGGGAGTTGCTGACGAGGAGATGTATCTCTGCGCGGAGCGCGCGCGGCTGCCGAGAGTAGAAACGCTTTTCGAGACGGGTTGGGACTCTGAGGGGGAATCTAGGAAAGCGGGAGAGAGCGCGCGGCAGGGGGGCCGCGCGCGCAGGGGCGGGGTTTCGGGGTTTTGGAAGCGGGTCGAGACCAAGGACGTGGAAGAGGCGGGTTCGACCGGGGTCTCGGGCCCGGCGACCGACGGAGGCCCCGCTGAGAAGTCGGCTGCATCCAGCGACGATGGATCGCCGGGCCCCGAGGGAGACGTTTCCCAAAACGGGGCCTCGGTGGCGAAGCTCGTCGCCCAGTTCGAGCTCCTCTGGGCGGAACCGTCAGCTCGGGATGATGACGTAGCAAGTGACGTCAAGTTGGTGGAGTCGACTTTGTTGGAAGACTCCGTGGAAGGTGAGGCGGAAGCGGGGTTGAGCGGAGCGGAACCGGTGTGGGTCCAGTGGGAGAGGGAGTTGCTGGAGACGAGCAGCCGGGAACAGAGTCCTCGGAGACGGACATGGGACGCATGAAGATGGACAGCGGATTAACAGATCAGTGGAGCTTGCCAGAGCGTTCGATGTTTCTATGTAGACGGACGTTGCTCGCCGCGAACTGTTCATGATTCGTAGCGTCCTTGAATCGACCCGAATTGGGCGGAGATCGAGTACATTAAAATGATTCTCGGGCGGCAGAAATCCACATCATTTACTAGTAGCAGCCTTCGTTCCCTGGCCCGACGTTCCCATGAGCAGCTGGCCGGCTGGCATCTGGTCTTGCACTGTTCGACAGATGCAGTGTGTTTTAAGGAGCAAGTGCCAGTGACTCACTCATGCAACATTATCATTGAATACACTCGGTTCTCTGTAATATATCGTAGCATTTGACATTATCGGCCATGCCTAAGTTTTTTATTTTAAGCTGAGCCAAACAACAGGCGCTGAGACGTGTCACGAGCGGCAGCCTGAGTGCCAACGGTCTGTCTACGACCTACGTGCCCGCCCGGCGCTGAAGCCTGATGCTTCCCGCGCGTGGTTGGTGTGCGCCCAGATGACTCGACGCGCAGCGCTCAAAGTTTTTGATGTTAATACCAAACCCCTCCAAGGAGAACGGTGAATTAAGTGAGATCTAACCCTCCTGGCTCACGGCTAAGGCCCCTGCGCTCGCGTCTCGCCCCTTTGTTAGTTATTTCGTCCAGCTGACTGGCTGTGCCAGTCAGACCAATGGTACGTTAACTCAGGTCCGGTTCATGCGCGCTCGGCTGCTATGCGCGCTCTCACGCATCGGGTACCCATCAGTAATGAGGCTGAGGTGGATAGAACGTCCATGCTCATGTTTCTCTTGTTCTGTCTCATCGTTGGAAAGCAACCGCCAGGGCACACACGACGAACAGTTGCTCGCACCATATTGCCTGATCATTAAGTTAACCTGAGACTGAGTTGTAAGCAGTTGAGATCATTCGAACTCTCACGTCCAAAAACGAGGTTCGCTTGCAGGACACATGAGACATCTGAGATGTCTGATGGGCCGCGGCTGGCATGCATCGAGATTAAGTGTTTGACGTCGACAGTATTGCGGAGGACTGGGATTTGCAGCGCCTAGCATGCGAGGCAACATTCAAATTTCAGAGTCAGAGTTGGATGTTCCTTGCACGGACCTGTGCTACTCATGCACACGCATGCTACGAGTCTAGCTAATTTTGGAAGCAATCATGTCATAATTTGCCAACGTCTTGGAACTTTGGCACAAGTCAATATGTTTCCCTCAAATATATTGATCAACATTAAGTGCAGTACTCGAATCCGATGCTAGCCGGGGTTATCCGTTGCTTTTCCATCTAGTCAGCGCGTGCTGCGTGCCCACGGGACTCTCGCGACTGCAATTACGTATACGAGACAGTTGCCGGGTTAAACCATGTACTTCAGTACTTCCATCATATCTAGGTTTCAAGTATCTTGTCCTGACCGGACCTTGACGCCTCGTATCTCTAGAGACTTGCAGTCCAAAGCCTATGGTGCTTATCACGTGACTGCAGCTTGGCGGCACATACCTATATCAACTCTGACTTTGAGGTTTGATAATCCTAGCAAATGTCTACAGGGGTGTGTCGTTAGAAGATGACGGCACTAGTCGGCGCCGATGCCATCATGACGCCAAGGCTGACCTTCATTCCTGTTGGCTCCCGGCCAGCGGGCAATGATAACATCAGAGCCTTGAGTGTGATTGATTCCCACCGACTCATACCCACATACCTACCAGAAGCAAAGTGAATTCGTACGTAGTTCCATCTGATTTCTTAAGTACACTAATAAACCGGGCATCTTGTGCACGACGCGCCAGCGGCCCAACCGGCCCAAATGAACTGGTCGCCGTATGGCAATGAACGACTCGTTCACCTGCGCTTGCCAGACTGCTCATATAAATTAGTACGGTAATACCGGCTTCACTATCCGACTCTGCCTAGCTGTCACACGTACTTAGCAGTACTGAGATCCTACTCATGCTCATCACCCGTATCTACCTATCGTACACCCGTATGAACCATGGTCCATGAGTCCATGCGTGCTGCTTGCAGTCACTTGACTTTTGTAGTTGCATCATGTGCACATGGCTTTTGAAAGATTCCCGAACTGAAAGTGCCTCGAACAGGCTGGCCTCTCAGGAGTCAGCTGGCTGTCCCAGCGGCCTCCGGAGTTTAGTGGACTCCTTCGTGACTGCAATCGATTGTCCGCGTAGCAGGGCAAACTCCAAACACACCATCCCTTAATACCTATAATAAGCCCAATATTGGGACTAAAACAACTTGTTAGCAGCTAACACTAGAATCCTACACCCGAATACTTACCAGCTTTTTACACGTGTTCACGCTAACCCCCTAATACAGCTAACCACAACTGAACCAGGAATGTGATTTTAGCTTTACTACAAATCAAGTCGTGTAAATGTGGAACTGACACACGGCGGTTCGGGCTGGGGCCTCCGAGTCGGAGGCCCAGGGAATTCCGGCCGCCAGCGGAATGTTTGCTTACGGACGCCGGTCCGAACGGCAACCTAAAGGCCGAGTCATGCGGACGTCGAAACATCTTGACATTTCACAAGCTTCAAGCTGGAAGATCCGCGACGTCGAAGCCCTGAGTGATTTGCAAGTGTCAGGCAAAATCTGGACACAATCCACCCAAGCCCTCAAGATCGCGATGATTTTGGCATCTTTCAGGTCGACGTGGGTACTTTGGAAAAGATTCCTTTTTGAACTCTGACACCTTCGTATTACCTACGGTAGGTAGCTCCTTATCAAATTTGTGGACGGGATGCGGACCCCGGGCTAATATTACCAGGACGTTCTGGGGCTTCCGTTTCAACTGGGGGCATAGATGGCCCAGTTGAATATGGAAAACATTGATGGAAAGAAACCAAAAGATTCCTTTTGAACTGTCGACACCTCACAAATATGGCAACACCCTCTTAGAATCAGTGAGGACATCTCGATCCCGGCCGCCAGTCTGTCGGAGGGGAATCAAGTTATTCTTTCTCGCCGGCGCCCGGGGGCCGGGCCAACTTTTTGTGGGGTTGAAAGCAACAGCCGGTTAAGCTAGCCTTGACCCTGCCCGAGGAACATATAGGGTTTGCAGAGCTTGATGACTCATGAGGTCTTCTAGGAATATTTCGAAAGGCTGTCTTGAATCTAGAATATCATGGTTAGGGGTCTCGGTTGTAAGGTAGGTTCTGTTACCTCAAATCGTTTCGAAGAGTTAGGGCCATCCCCTGGGCCCACTGCAAATCCTTTAGGGTTGCGCTGTACTGTGTACACCTCGGATGACGAGCGGCCGGTTCTTACAATTGGCTATCCTGTTTATCAGGAGACAGGGATTGCCTAGAAGTAGGCAGGTGCTACCTGCCACGCTATCTGGAGATACAAAAGCAATCCTGTAGGCTATCTCAGCCTATAGGGATTGCACTGTGCAGCTTGCTCAATGCTGCCCGTGGGAGAGGCTCGGCAGGACTTTCAGGTCGACAAGATTATTTAGTCTATTTTTTGTGCACTTTTCCTGTTCAAAACCAACTGAAGGCCCCACCTTGATCAGATTTTAGAACGATCAGAAATCGTTCATCGACGCATCTCAAGCGGCCCCAACAGGAAGCAACCAACTACCAAGTGAGGATCTCCAAGGTAAGCACGCCAGTATGCTGGGTCTTTGCTCGGCGCGGTTTCTTGTGTATCCTCCACATTGTAATCCTCACTGCCAGCTCAGATACAACCGTCTGTGGTGATGACTGGTAGCTCCAATGTGGGCATGGTTCTGTATGATATGTCGATCACTGGTCTTTTACGGTGTGACATTCTTCCACCGGCAGGGCCACTTTGCTCTGAGAGGCGTTAACCTTTTCCACACAACCAGTACCTTCTTTACATGACATTCAGTTGACACTATTTAAGGTGTCCAGCTGATCAGACCAAGTCCTCACCTAAGGCCGTTCCCGCTGAGTCCGAATTTGCAACTAGTTCCATTTTCCGCGAAAGCCTCACAGCTTCGTCCATCACACCATGCTGAAAGATATATCAACCAAACGGAAACAGAATGAAGCAGCTGAACACTTTGCCTCCGCTGTGCAGAACCGCGATCATGGGTGCCTTCCCCGGAATGGAGCAGTATCTGTGGATGGTTGTGGCGGGAGCCTTTGTGGCTTTCGGGTTCGGGTGGGGAACTGGTAAGGCCAGCCTCTTTTCTTGTCAATAGACAGACAGTAGGGCACTTGTTAATAGATAGGCTGTGGAGCACTCGTTATTAGATAGGCCGTGGAGCACTCGTTATTAGATAGGCCGTGGAGCACTCACCAAGTCTTGTGGTTTGCGCCACTTTTGCTTTCCTGCAACTTCCTGCTGTCATGTCTCTTTTGACTTACTGTTGCAGTAGTGCTGTGTCTGGGCTTACCTGAGTTACTAAGAGCTGGGTAAAGAACCTGGTGTCCTGACCAACAGTGATCCCTTTTGCTGTGCATGGGGTTGAAGAGTTGCATAACGTCTGGATGGCAACTTTCACTGACCTCAGTTGCTGGCTGCAGGGTCCAATGATGTGGCCAACGCTTTCGGAACTTCAGTCGGTGCCAAGACCCTGTCCCTGCGCCAGGCTGTCATCGTAAGGTTCAGATTGTTTGTTCTTGACTTTAGTGAACTTAATGCGTCTGAGATGTTGCCATCCCATACTGCCGCTACCAAGTCATGGCGCAGGATCACTCCTATGTAGAGATTGGTACCCTATCTCTGTACACACATCGACGACGTCAGCAACTCCTGTGATTGTATTGCTTCAAGTGGGATGATCGTTGCCAGCAATAAATCCGGTCATGCTTTAGAAGCAAGCCTTCTACTGGGCTGATTTTTTTGCCTTGTCAAGTCCAAGGTCCTGCCTTTTGAATTAGGGGCATGTAGCCTGGGCAGTATGAGAGCAAAATCTACGTTATCATCCATGTCGTCCACCAAGCACAGTCTCACAGAACTGAAAGTCCTCCGTCTGCAATGGCCCCACCTACATCTCTCCTACTCCAAGCTTTCCTTGAGACATGACCCTTGTGTTTTCTCGGAATGAACCCCCCCTTTTCTCCGTCCAGATTGCCTCCATCTTTGAGTTCGGTGGAGCTCTGCTCTTGGGTCGTGTCTCCACCAACACCATCGCGGGAGGTATTGCCGATATCAACTCTTTCCTGGAGGACCCCGAGGTGTATGCGTACGGCATGATCTGCGCCCTGCTCGTCGGTACCGTCTGGCAGGGACTGGCCTCCAAGATTGGAGTCAACGTCTCTGCCACGCACTCTATCAGTGAGTGTTCATTGCCGTAACTCATCATGCACTGCTTAGGTGTGGGCATGCTTTTGTGAAGGTTTTCACTCCTCAGGGAAGTGGCTGTGTGTGAGCTTTCAGCAAGACCTTGAGATGGCTTGCTTCATAGAACCCTACGATAAAAATCTTCTGAGCTCTTCCTTGGCAATCAACCCTGCCAAGGTCTGGGTCACACTTAATTCCAGGTCTGTTGCAATCAATCAGCAGGTTGATTGAAGGGTGACTTCACCGGCCACTTCTCAGCGGATACCACCTCTCCATAACGGTCACTGTCTTCCAAAAGAAGTTGGCACTGTTCAGCTGCATACTGGTTGGTAGTGTGGTGTTCACCTCCTTCCCGGTGCAACTAACCATCTCCTCTTCACCCTGCAGTTGGAGGAATTGTCGGATTCGCCCTCGTCTGGGGGGGCAGCGACGCTGTCATCTGGGCCCAGAAGGCCGCCCCCGGGGAGGTTGCTTTCCCCCCCTACAAGGGTGTCATCTCTATTATCCTCGCCTGGTTCATTGCCCCCCTTCTCACTGGATCCGTTGCCGCGATTCTGTTCGGCACCCTCCGCTTCCTGGTTCTGCGGAGGGCCAACGCCTATAACCTGGCCTTCTTCGTGTTCCCCCCTCTCGTGCTCATCACCACATGGGTCAACATGTACTTCATCTTCACCAAGGTGGGTGCAGCTTGTCTGCGCAGAATTTCTTGACCCAAACTGTTTCTGTCACAATGCTCAACGCTTGGCTTTGCTTGATTCTTCTGCACTTGGGTGCCTCCTCCAGGAGAGCTTGTTGGGTTTACGCAATCAGATGAGGCTTCGCAGAAGTGATGCCAAAGTAGTGCATGTCTCTTCTGCAGTCGTGCGCAGAGTCACACACGTTTATGCAGAGTCTGTATGCCTGGGCCCACTGCTGCACTCTGTCGCACACAGCAGATAGGTAACGCAGACAAGAAGTGGCGCCAGTCGCATACCTTATGACACTGCCTAGGCTTCTGAATTAGCGTCCACTGCTGACGTCACAGTCCATTGCTGACGTCACAAACATCGCATGTGCAGGGTGCCAAGAAGGCTCTGAGCACCGGCGACGAAAGCTGGACCGACACAAAGGCCGTCTGGGTCGCTGCATGCATCGCAGCGGGCGCTGCCGTTCTCATGGCTCTGGCCACGCCTCTCCTCAAGAAGCGGGCCGACTCCCAGTTCGATATGTAAGCCCTTCGTCTCACAGTTTCCTGTGGTCTCTAGCAAGAACTTTTGAGCTTCTGCGCGGTCTGCAGCTTCAAGTGAAGCGAATGGAGTGTTATGCTGACTGCAGCCGTCGATGATTTGGGAGTACGTCGAACCCACCTGTTCTGTTTCAGAACAAGATGAGGAGCCGCGTTTTGCGTATCTGCTGTAAGTGAGACAAGGGTAATTATGCACGTACTTGCATGAAAGTTTCGTTCGTTTCACACGGGTGGGGTGGGGGTCCAAGTCTTCCCAGTTCGAGATAAATGACAGAACGGATTCTAGAATGATGACGGAGTCAGAACGTTGACGTTTCCAAAATGGTGACACTGCCAACAGAATATTTGTAAAGAAACTACTGAAGTCTCTACAGGAATGCACTCTCTGGTACGAGACACTCAAGCACCGTTTTCTCCCTGCAGTGAGGGCAAGCGCATCCCAACGGCCGCCCAGCAGAAGGAGATGGACGACATCGAGTCCCCCAAGAAGATCGGCGAGGAGGCCCCTGAAGGCCACCAGTCCGTCCTCGGAAAGGCCAAGACGGCCGCGCTCTACGGAACCAGCTACAACATCCACGCGATCATCGATACCGACGCCGCAGTGCACAAGATCCACGCCGGGGCGGAGGTCTTCGAGGAGCGCGTCGAGTTCGCCTTCGGGTATCTGCAGGTACGGTTTTAGCCAGAGCGATTTAGTCCCAGTCCTTGTGTAACGAGGTGGGCTTTGAACGAGGGTCAAAAGTTTTGAAACGGATGAAACTGTGATTATTTTGCCTCTGGTAATTCTTCTTGTGTGCACAAGAACCTTGTATGCTTCTTGTTGGTTCTTGTTGGTGATCTCGAATCCTGATGCATTTCGCGTGACTGAAACACGATCTCATCGTGTCATCCCGTCAAACGCCCTCCACAGACAGTGGACTGCCCTCGTCCAGCCGTTCACCACCTCCTGAATTCGCTCATCGCCCTTGCAGACCGTCTGTTCCCTTCTGAAAGGTTGCTCAGAACCTAAAGTTTCCAACGACTATGCGACATCCTTTTTTCTAACTCCCTCTTTAACCCGCTTTTTAAACCCGCTTTTTAACCCTTTCCCAGGTCTTCTCCGCCATCTGCGTCATCTTCGCTCACGGCGCCGGTGAGGTCGGTTACATGGTTGGGCCTCTAACCACCATCTGGGACGTGTATCAAAAGGGTTTCCTCGCCAAGAAGGTCGACCCCCCTTTCTGGGTCGTCATCATCGGTGCCTCCGGTCTGGTTGTCGGTCTCGCCACCTACGGGTACAACGTCACCAGGACCATGGGAGTGCAGCTCGCCAAGATCACCCCCGCCCGCGGCTTCTGCGCTGAGCTCGCTACCGCCGGAACCATCATGTTCGCTGCCCAGTAAGTCCACTTACAGACGTTTTCTTGGATTCTACTGTTCGACCTCTTTCGAAGGCTCAGTGACAGTAAGAAGCACCGATCAACCCGCAAATTGATCAACCACCAATAGACTTGTCAATCTATTATTTCAGAAAACTGCCTTAACCAGGATTGTGAGCGAAGCTTTCCGGTATTCACGACATTTTTTGCCTCTTTAACCTAACCTTACCTTCTTGGAGTGACGACTCAGTCCTAACCTCTTTGGAGAGACGAGTCTAACCTACCTGCTTCTCTTTTTCAGGTACGGTCTCCCCACCTCCTCCAGCCAGTGCATCACTGGTGCCATCGTCGGTGTTGCTCTGCTCGAGGGTGCCAAGGGTGTCAACTGGAAGATCTTTTTGACCCAGTTCGTCTCCTGGGTGCTAACCCTGGTCGCCGTGGGTGGCTTCGTTGCCCTCATCTTCGCTCAGGTGCGTTTCTGAATCGTTTCTGATAATTTACAAACTTCAAATGTTCTCCGAAAACGTTCGGCTAGTTTGGCGTGCAAGTTGCAAACCTTAGGCATCGATCGTTTCCCGTCCGTCAGAACTGGCTGATTATACTTATGACTTTTTGGCTTCAAACGATGGAGAATGCCCTCATTTGCAGAATAATGGCCTGCAAGGTTGCCTTTCCATGAGCTTCTCGTATTCTTGGGTGTCACAAGCTGTGCCGAGCACTAAGAAGTGGCGCTGATTTTGCATACAAAGTGAAGGTCAGATTCATTCCCCTTCCAATCCTAACCCAAGACCTTAACCGGACTCTGCTAACCTCCATATTTCCTCCATTCCAGGGCATTTACGCCCCGTCCCGCCAGGCCCTGACCCAGCAACACCAGTACGAGGTCCGCGTCAGCAACCTGACAACAAACTTGTACAAGGACTTCAACTCATCTCTGTACAATTACCGCGCCGGTGCCACCGCGGGGGCCCTCCCCACGCTTTCCGCCGCCCAATGGTCGACTTTCAACTCGAGCGTTGCTAAGGCGTCTTCCACCGCCAAGGGTCTGGTCGACCTCAAGAAGAGGCAGACTGGTAAGGGAACACTTCTGACTTGGTCTGGTTCGAGAAAGATCAGCTGAACGATCGTGCCGACCGAGTGGAGCTTGTCGTGCCTTTCAAGTCCTTTGATTGAGTGGCCCTTTTAAAGTTGCCCAATGGCCTTCTTTTCGAAGGGCTCTTGAGAAACTTCTGCCAAGTGAACCATCGAAAATTGGTAGAGATTTTTCTTCATTTTGCGTCTAGGTGATCTGCATAGAAACAAGCGACCACTCCCCTTTCCAGAACAGTATTGCAACGTGCCTGTCATTCTGAGGTTTATGAGCATCAAATTCTTAGCTCAGTTGACATAATCTATCTTTTCAATCTTAGCCAAGCTGACACGATCTATCTTTCTTGCAGTCGATGCCGGTGACATCTTGACGAACCTGTACAAGGCCATCGCGCTGTACCAGCAGAACACCGTGTTTACCCTGGGTCAGGCCACCGTTTTCAACGGCTCAACCGGTTGCAATGCCGCCTCCAGCGCAAACTCCGCCGCTCTGTGCGCTGCGCCCAAGCTGTTGCCTACCGCGTATCAAACCCGGTTCCCTTAGGTTTAGACACGGGAACATTTAACAAGACGCGCGGGCTTCCGAAAGATTTGGATTACAGACTTGGTCCTCCGCAATACTCCCCTCGCTGCAACCCCCCTCTCTCCTCTCATATAGACCAAGCCCCCCTGAAGGGGTTTGGTATATATATATATATATGCGTTCCTTGGATTTCCGGAGCAGACTGTAAGAGATTGTAAAGTAGCAATGATTAATCTCTTTGTCATCTAGTTATCTCTTTTCAATTCATGAAGGCAGGTGTGACTATGCCAGATCTTCAATGCACGGGAATCTATGTGCTTACTTCGTCCATGAGATGATAGGACAATCAAATGATGTTTGGTGTGCCTCTCAGTGCCGGGTGAAGATTCAGCAGGTTCTTAGTAGACATGTCCCATTCGATCAGGAGTGAGGTAGCATCTCATGTATTGCCATGTCGCTAGAAATCAGCTGTTAGAGAGTGCTTGTTAACTCAGGATAGAAACATTTTTTGATGAAGCCCGAACTCCGAAATTGCTTGTTTCTGCGCCATGGGCCCGGGTGTCTAAGCGTGTACATAAAGAAATGACCATAGAATCGGATCTTGTAAGGTATATGGTCAAATCATTGAACGTAGCCAAGAATTCCCACAAAGGGCAATTGTAAACCTGATCCCTACTGTACAACTCATTAATTCAACCTGATTGCATGCTCGGCGTCGACTCAACTTAAGAAAAAGATATGTAGGAAGTACGCACATCCAATTGCACATGTGGCTGGTTTCAAAACCGGCCGAAGTACGTATCCCAAAGATGTCACTACTACTGACAGTGTGTACAATCATTACGATCAAGCTAAATTCAATCGAGTAATATGCTGTATATAGGCCGTCTTTGCCCAGAATCATTGAGTCACTTATGCACATCGTATGCACACGCCCTTTTAACTTTTACGTCACGTTGCAAGCCAGAAACACATACCAGACTGATGTTCGACTAGCTTTACATTATACTATATCAAATGACCTGGCGCACCTACGTGACGTGTGTTAGTACGTAGCTATCATGTAACCGTTGAATTGGTATATGCCTAAAATAAGAAAACATCATGCATGCCTATATTCTAAACCCGCGGCTGGCAAAAGACTCTTATAAGAGTTTTTTGATCTTATATAAGGTGATCAATATTGATCACCTTGTAT